GTACTAAAGCTCTCAAATATAGTAAAATAGTTAGAAACACGTGACAGAAGATGAATATGCACGCATATGACAAGTACGTGCACGTTAATATAAAAACATGCGTGTAAAATATGACACACAAATAATTTTATCTTCAGATCTCGCACAGTCCTTCTGAAGCTGCCCTGACGAAAGAGATGAATGACAGTCATCGCACACGCCAGCGCACACAGTTTTAAGCACGGTGTGTGCCCATGGCTGCACAATAAGTATGTAAAATAGTGAGGCCACGTGACAGTGGATGAATACAAATTCATATGGGAAATACGTGCAAGGTGAAATGAAAACATTCGTGAGATATGACATGCTATTAATTTCACCGTGACGCCACACATCGTCAAAGACTCATTTCAATCCCTGTAGTGCAACAGCTTAGGAGCGGCGGCCGCAGCCACATCTCCGCGAGCCACCGTGCCGCTAACAAGTCGGTGAGTTCTAAGCGAGCGGCGTCGTTCAGCTCGCGCAAGCGAACGCGAGACCAAACACGGCGCTGCACGCGGAGCGTCTGACGCCAGCGAACTTCGAATAGGAGAGCGAGCGTACGCTTGACTCCCGAAACAAACAGCGCCGAGCTAGTTTGGAGCTAACCCCGAAGAAATTGACGATAACGCGGCCCTTTTCCACAAACTCGAGCGAGTGCAGCGCGCAAACGCGAGTCCGCCGCCGCGGCCAATGGACGGCGCCGAGCTGCTTGCGACGGACTGACGGGAAAGCCAACTGTAATGGCGAGCAATTTTCAGTGAGCTCCGACCCAAGCGAAATTCCCGCCAGCCCGTGCTGGTGCACTTACAGCGCGACGTACTACAACAAAGCTCTTTACGTGAACCCGCAACGTGTTTTCGACGACTCCTCACACAGCGATGAGGTCTCAGCCCAATATCGTCAGCCCGGAGCTCATCGCGGCGGCGAAGACAGGCGAGCACTCATGAGCAAGCGTACGGGAGACCGACGGCAATGGCGGCCAATTTCCGGGCGGTCACAAAGCACAGGCGAACTTCAGATGCCGAAGCTCACCTTCGCGATGCATTTCGTGCGTGCGATATACATGACCGAGCCCGTTGCCGGCAAGCGCGATACGCATCGCACACGCGACAAGTACAGTAAAATAAAGAATGATAACCTACTTGCCTGAGAATCTAGCGCTGTTTCCTGCCCCGAGTCGGACTGAAGTATATATCCGATAGGCCTGTGGTCTTCTCGGCCGCCATATTGGCCTTCCCAACTCTTGCTGTCGTGTGTTGGTCGTGACTATCTTGAAACCAGAGATATACAGTGCGGCGTGGTGACGTGCCGAGACTTGCTCCATACATCATGGGTGCAGCGAAACGCAAAAGCAGCAGCCCACGCTCATCCAAGCGTACACACAAGCACCACGTCGTAATTCTTAGATCGTCGAATCCAGGCGGCCGTGGTCGAGCACTCCGAGCGCGACGCACCGCGAACCGTCGCTGGCAAAATACGGGGAAAGACTGAGCCAGCAGAGAACGAGTAAGACGTGCTCTGTGGAGAAGGGCTAGTCACCTTGGCAATGCTTTTCGCGCTGCCAGCGATCCCCGGGTGGTTCATCGCTTTGGAGACTAAGAGGTTTCGCGCCGCACGCTTCCCTCTGTGGTTTTTCCACAACGGTCTGTCTGTTCATCGCGTGCGCCTATTGGGCTCCGTTACTCCTTTTTGCGTAATTTTGCCTGAGAGTTTACGCTGAAGAAACAATGTCACGGTGGTCTAGTGGCTAAGGTACTCGTCTGCTGACCCGTATGTCACGGCATTGAATTCCGCCTGCGGCGGCTGTGTTTTCGATTGAGGCGAAAATGTTGTAGGCCAGTGTGCTCAGATTTGGGAGCACGTTAAAGAACCCCAGGTAATCTATACTTCCGGAGCCCTCCTCTACGGCGGCTCTCATAATCATGTGGTAGCTTTGGGGTGTTAAACCCCACACACCAAACTATCCTAGAACACCTACTGCTAGTAGACCACACGGGCCTCATGCATTGGTAATGAGTTTGTTCACGCATATTTCTTCTTTGTTCCCCCTCACACCACTGTCTTCAAGGGGCAACACCATGATGAGCACGTACCGTGCGTGGTAATTATTCACGCTAATCAAATACAAACCTCGTGAAGTCCCCAATGACAGTGATGACGGCCCTCCATTTTGGACGGCATTGAGGCTTACAGAGACGCAATAAGTGATATCGGTTCAGTTCCCGCATTCCCGCTTGAGGGACGTTGGAGCCAAAGACATGAGTGTACACCCTTCAAGCGTCGGCGCAAGCGCGAGCTGCTGTCTGAGCAACAATGCCATGCTAGCCGCATCATGGCCCCATCACGATGCCGCGGGCTACGAGATGTTCCCTAACTGTGAAACACAGTGTACCTACAAAACGGTCCACTGTTGAAGGGGCCGTGCGACACTTCTTGAGCGTTGTCAGAAAACACTGCCGATCGGTAGCAGAGGCTCCCGAGAACACGCGAGCCAAATGTTTAGCGCAGCACGTGGCTTGGAATCCACAATAAATTATCAGTCAGCTAAAAATTCCTTTATCTTACCTAAAAAAAACTGGCGCAAAACACTCAAAAGTTACACGTAGATTTCCCATCTATCAGCCATTGGCTGAATTGAACTTGGCGCGTTTGGTCCTTAAATTGATCACCGCGAGAGGCCGTCACTTGTCAAGAGACCATCACGCGTGCGCGATCACCCTCAAAAAGCCGCATATTCGAATAAAAAAAGAAAAGTGCTCCAGGTCACGAGACACGCGTGAAGGTATTGTTCGCCCCTGCGATCCCTCCCTGCTTAGCTTCCAGGACGAGAGCAGAGAGAATGCGATTGCGGAGTTAAAAGTCTTTGTAACTCCACTGGACGAGAGCAGAGAGAATGCGATTGCGGAGTTAAAAGTCTTTGTAACTCCACTCGCACTTGACGGATTCTTAAACTTTTTGCAACGTTGAGTTTTTGAGGCAAAGCGCTTTTCCAGTGAATTAATTATATTGTTATTCAGAAGTGTTTAGGGCTCTTTTAAAGCGAATATCTAAGCATCTGGGGGCAGTCTCGGCACCCTCACCGGCCGATGGCTTCAAGTAGTTCCGTGCAGGCGCAGTGAGCAGAATTGCGAAAGCTTTTATTGCAATAGCAATTATATGGACACTCTCGGCGGGATATTCATTCTCGCGTTGATGTCTTGCACCATGCATGTAAACGTATTATGAAGTCTTGGTTTGGAATACCTTTATTAGGCCCGAGGAACCGGCAGCCGACAGCAACGATGAACGAACCAAGATGATGATGCTATGCGACAACAATGAGGATGCATGAGCGACACATGATAATGATGATAATGTACAGATGAATAGAATTGGTATACTAAATACCCACACTAATTCCACCCACGTGAAAACTGCCAGCCTGGCCGTAGCAAGTCAAGGTGACAAAGAACATAGCATGAATGGCTTCATACGGGAGACATTGATGACCTCAGTAGTTCGATAACGGCAACCTGCTACACGTAACGTCACGCCATAATTTACTGGTGAAGTATCTTCAAGAACTGCGTACGGCCCGATAAACCATGGCTGGAATTTGTCACACAAACCAGGTGTGCGAATAGGCATCAAAAGGAGCACTTCGTCTCCAGGTTGAAAGGATACAGCGTGATGCGATTCATCATAAAGTAGCTTTCTCTCTTGCTGTCGGGCTTCAGTATTTATACAAGCACGCTGGCGGCACTTTGCGAGTCGTAAAACGTGTTCCTCTGAAGGGAATGGAGTTGAATTCGTGGGGCAGGTAATGAAAGAGACATCCAGGAAAGAACTGGTGAATAGGAAACTAGGTAAAATAGTGAGTGGCCGGTTGTGCGCTGAATGGCCGTATTGTAGGCCAAAGTGACGAATGGTAGAATTACATCTGAGTTCTAGTTGTCTGGTTGAATATGGGTAGCTATCATGTCAGCAAGAGTGCGGTGGAATCGCTCTGTGAGGCCGTTAGTCTGGGGATAACTAGAGGCAGTCTTGTGGGTTGTGCCGGAGGCGTGAAGAAATTTGTTCACTAGTTGTGAAAGGAAAGCCTTTCCACGGTCACTGAGCAATACAAGTGGAGCACCAAGATGTAGTATAATGGCTCGGAAGATGAAATCGGTAGTTTCGAAAGCTGAACCGGTAGTGACGGATGCCGTCTTCGCGTAGCGCGTCAAATGGTCAACGGCTGTTACTATCCACCGGTTTCCAGCAGCACTGACTGGAAGGGGGCCATAAAGATAGACACCTTCAACTTCGAATGCTGTGCCTTGGCACGGAAGATGCTGTAGTGTAACGGCTGGAGCAGATGTGGGTAAATTTCTTCATTAGCAGATAGTGCAGGACCCGACATACTGAGCTACACTAGTGGTAATGTCTGGCCAATAAAACAGACTTGAAAGGTGATCGTAAGTTTTACGGTAACCAAGGTGACGAGCAGTCGAATGGTCATGAAGTGCTTTGAAGACTTCGGACTGAAGCGATCGGGGTAGAACGGGAACTCAGCGCTGACCATCAGGATGGTAAATTTCGTGGTACAGCACCGAGTTGCCTAGCTTAAATTGCAAGAGTTGGTGATGAAGCATCGCATTAGGTGGACGGGAACTGCCAGTGAGGTAGCCTATATTAATTCGACAGTATGGGTCAGCCAGCTGTCGAGAAGGAATATCGTGGGGGTCGTTCGAAGGCAGCTGGTCAATAGAGGCGAGTGAGGAAACCGCCGTAGACGTGCTCCGAGGGTGTGTTGTGCAAAGTGATTGCAGAAACGCTGAGTGGAGCCGCTGGTAGTGGACAGCAAGAAAGAGCATCGGCGTCACTATGCTTTCTGCCACACTTGTATCGATGTCAAAATCATACTCTTGGAGGCGTGGAATCTTGCGGCCGAGGTGTCCCGCCAAGTTCTTGAGTGTCGAAAGCCAACATAAAGCGTGGTGGTCGGTCACAATGGTGAAATGGCGGCCGACCAGGTGAGGACGAAATTTCTGCACTGACCAAACAATGGCGAGGCACTCTTCCTCGGTGATCACATAGTTCCTACCGGCTGCGGAGAGGACGCGGCCGGTGTATGCAACAACTCGCTCTCGTGAAGACTTGTCGCGTTGTAGAAGCACGGCTCCTAAACCGCCACCGCTAGCGTCTGTATGCAGGAAGGCCGGTGCATCATCGTGAAAATGAGAAAGTACAGGGTCGGTCATGAGGGCACTCTTTAACTTGTCAAAAGCCGATTCACGTTCCTGAGACCACTGAAAGGGCGTACCGAAATCAAGTAGCTTATGGAGTGGTGCGGCTATGGAGTTTTGTATGAATCGTGGAAGTATGAGGCGAGACCAAGGAAACTTCGCAAAACTTTCGGTTTGTCAGGGCAAGGGGTGCGAAGTACCGCAGCAGTTTTGTTAGGGTCTGGACGACTCCTGTCGTTGCGCACAACATGACCGAGGACCTTGATTGATCTGCTGTCGAAATGATACTTCATGGTGTTAATTTGAAGACCTGCGCCCGCAAGGCAAGTCAAGACCTCGTCCAAGCGTTGCAGATGTTGAGGAAACGTTGATGAAAAGACAACAATGTCATCGAGGTAACATAGGCAAGTCTTTCATTTGAGGCCACGCAGTACGGTGTCAATCATGTGCTCAAAGGTTGCGGGCGTGTTGCATAGACCGAAAAGTATAACATTCAATTTGTATAGGCCGTCCGGGTCGCAAAGGCAGTTTTTCTTTATCATCTTCGTGCGTGGGTATTCGCCAACAGCCGGAACGCAAGTCGAGGCTTAAAAATAATTCAGCACCTTCTGAAGAATTGAGGGCGTCGTCGATGCGTGACACAAGGTATGCGTCCTTCCCAGTGATCTTATTGAGGGCTCGGTAATCGACGGAAAATCGTATGGAAACATCTTTTTTTATGCGTCAAAACGATGGAAGCCGACCAAGCACTGGTTGAGGGTCGGATTATCTCCCGTTGCAGCATATCGTCTACGTTTCCTCAATGATTTTTCGTTCGGCTAAAGAGACGTGGTATGGACGGTGGTGCACAATGGATGTTCTGTCGGTCTGAATACGATGTGCTCTAGCAGTTGTCAGGCGCAGGGTGGATGAATGAACGTCAAGAGTTCGCAACTTTTGCAACAAGTCAAGCAACTGCTGCTTCTGCGAGTGTGTCAAGTCTTTGTTGATGGCTGCTGTAAAAGATGAAAAAGCAGCATGATCTGCAGGATGTTCTTTAGAGGAGACAGGGGTAAGAGGCACGACGCACACAGACTCCAAATCGGCAACGCAGGTGACAGTAGGACCACGCGGCAGTAAAAGTTTATAAGTTGTGGTGTTCGTAGCAGCGAGGACAGCTGATCCATTGTTGAACGAGCCACACCTGATGCGAGAGCTATGCCTTTATTAAGGCAAAGGGGCGATGTAGTGACCAATATGTCACCAGAGTAAGCGTCTTTTGACAAAACTGTGACTCTTTGATGTTCGTGTGGTGGTAACTCGATGTCTACAGCAACTATGAGTTGAAGTGGCCTGTAGGTTTCATTGTTGAGCAAGTGGTCTGTGTCAGTAAGATGGACGACACGTTGCGCACAACAAATAGCCGTGGAAGCAGAGGAAATAAAGTCCTAGCCTAAAAGAAGTGCGTAGGAGCACGGGGATAGCACAGCAAATTCTATATGATGAAGATTGTCATCGATTAGCACACGGGCAGTACAGAGGGCGGAAGGGCGAATCATTGTTCTCTGGACTGTAACGAGCGTTGATCCATCATAAGGCATCGTGACTTTTCGAAGACGGGCACACAAGTCAGCACGAATAATAGAAAACGCAGCCCCAGTGTCCATCAAAGCATGAACGTGCACTCCCTCAACTGTGACTGAAATCATATTGTAAGGGCGCGCTCGAAGAATTAGTCCTGTGTTAGAATGCAGTTTGTCCTCCAAAAACTGCATCGCTTAGTTTTCCGGACGCCTATCAGAAGCGAGGGAAGCAGGCTGAAAGAAGACCGACGGTAGGGTGACCGTGAACGGCGTAGGGTTGATCGATGACTACTGCACAGTTCACCCGAGGCTGGCAGAGATGGAGACCGACGCGGAGGTGACGAATAACGGCGGCCCTAGTACAAGGCTTTTCCGGTGTAGTCCCGTTCGCGTATGTCATACCCTCGGCGCTCGTCTTGCTGGATCTTGCGGCCAAAGCATGAAATGTGACCACGATAGCCGCAATAATAGCACGTAGGGTGCAGTCGATCGATAAGGAGGGTAGTAGTTTGCGTTAACTGTACCGGGAGAGAGAGAACAGTGAGAGTGACAGATGACGGCTGAGGAGGTGGTGATGGATAGTGGGAAAGCTTGTAGGATGTGCGGCAGCAACCGACGCATACGTACGTTCGTGGCGGCGACGTCGAGGTGATGGTGCCTGATGGTGCGGCAACGGCATGCGAGAACAATGGGAGAGTACGAGTGACAGTGGGCTGCAGGTGGGCCATGTGGGTCATGAACGTGAGCTCCTCCTGAAGACATCCCGCAATGATGTTGAAAAAGACTGAATGGGACACACTGAAGGTACTGTGAATCCCAATGATTCTGATTCTTCGCGTATAATCACTTTTATTGTACCTCGTAGGTTTGGAGCCACCGTAATACGGGTCGCGTCACTGTTCGTTTGTAGGCGCATAGACTCAAGTCCTTCGAGGCGCTGACAGGTTGTCACAACGTCAGCAACGGTGGCCGGATTCTGATTGCAAGGGAATTGAATGCGACGGGTGCAATCCCCTTAAGAAGCTGGCGTACCTTGTCTGACTGTCATTGGTGTGTCAACCCGGCAGCGAAGTAAAGGACATCCTCGATGTAGGATGCACATGACTCCCCGATGTGCTGTTTCCGAATCGCGATTGCTTTCTTTGCAAGAGCCAAACGACCAGCCGGTGTGCCAAAGACATGGCGAAGCTGATCTTTGAAGGCTGACTAGTCGGGGATGTCGATATAGTGGTTGCCCCGCCGTGTTGGCCTAGTGGCTAAGGTACTCGGCTGCTGACCCGCAGGTCGCGGGATCAAATCCCGGCTGCAGCGGCTGCATTTCCGATGGAGGCGGAAATGTAGTAGGCCCGTATGCTCAGATTCGGGTGCACGTTAAACAACCCCAGGTGGTGAAAATTTCCGAAGCCCTCCACTACGGTGTCTCTCATGCGATGTTTTCCGTACAGAGAAATAAAAAAGTTTAAACGTTCACGGAAACCATGCGTCACAAAAAACCTGATAAAAATGATAAATGTGAAAAATAGCATGTATGAAATAATTTTGAAGAATCGCGATCCAGACGCATTGAATTCCTTTCGGAAATAGAGAAATTATTTAACTAGTTATGAAAAACGCGAAACGCAGTTACTATTCTTGCATGTTCGAGGGTTTCTCAGGGGTCAAGAAGATGTGGAGCAAGTTAAATTCAATTACAGCAATACATAAAGATGATTTAGTGTAGAAGAGATAACTGAAGGCGATCTAACATACAGGGGCAAAGCATTGGCTGAGAATTTCAATAAACACCTCACTCCCTTAGTAGACAGTGTCAATGACACTACCGCACTACATTACATGTCCGCACAGACAGTAGCTTCGTGAGTTTCTTTCCCCAACAGATGAATACGAGGTTATGGGTGTTTTCAAAAAACTAAAGAAAAGTAAATCGGAAAATATTGATGGGTTAAAGATGGCCCCAGTCTGTCCTGTCATAGATATATTAGTCATGCCCTGAACATACATTTATAACCTAATTTTAGGCACAGATATTTTCCCAGAACGTATGACGCATGCAAAAGTTGGTGCTGTTTAAGGGAGGAGACAAAAATGATTTGAAAAACTATAGGCTCATATCTGTTCTACCATTGTTTTCGAAGCCCATAGAAAAGGTAATATTATAGACTATCGATTTCTTTGCAAAACATTCGATAATTACTCCAGCCCAGTACGGTTTTAGGTCAAGCTGTCGACAGAGGTAGCATTGTTACGTCAAAAAGAAATTATATTAGGTAAAATAGAGGACAGGTAAATTACGCTAGGCATATTTGTTGACTTCTCCAATCCATTGACCGGATATATCACAATACCCTGTTACAAAAATTGCCCTATTATGACATTAGAGGAAATGCGCTAAACGTAATCCCCACGTATTTGAACAATAGGCTACAGTGTGTAAGTATAAACACAGAACAATTATCTTTGCAAAAACTTGCTCAAGGTGTACCCCAAGGTAGTATATGGGGGACGTTACTTTTTATCACATAGGTCAATGACATTATAAACACAAGTCACACAATTACATATGCCATACATGCGGTTGACACTTCCTTGTTTTCACAGGTGTGGATGTAAATGACCTAATGTCAGCAGCAAACACGACACTAGATGATTTGTATGCATGGGCGACTGCGAACTCCCTACAAATGAACTGTTCAAAAGACAAAGTCGTCCTATTTCGTTCAAAAGGAACAACGTACAAAGCTACTTCAAAACTACACCTGCACGATTTTGTGATTAATTTTTCTTCGACCGCTAAGCATTGGCAATTGTTTTTCATGAGAATATGCTATGGGTTTCACAAACCGAAATGGTAAGAAACAAGTATGGTACTAGGCATGCTTAGGAGATGTCAGTCATTTTTACCGACTACTCAGATGCTAAATATATACAACACGCTTTTTTCTTCCCAGTTACGCTATGGTCTTTTGGTGTGGGGTACTGGCACCTTGCACTCTAAGCAGAAATTACTCACACTACAAAAAAATGCATTACGTTCTATTGCAAATGTCGAAATATAATGCACATATTTGTCTTCTTTCAACAGTTTCAGAGACCCAAGATTTGCACATGTATGAATATTGTTCACTTGCGTCTTAAAAATGAAATTAACAAAGGAAAGTAACAATCTTATCTCCATAGCATGCTTAGAGCGCAGCACCTTATCTTGGCCTACAAGACAGAGTGATTATTGGAAGGTTCCTCGATGCCGAACAAACTATGGTCTACAAAGCTGAATTATTCACTTCCCCACTTACTAAATAAATTCAATTTTATCATTTGGAACAATTGCACCTTCTTTCGCGACAGCATATGTGGAATATTTTTTTTACTTTTCATGACTGCAAGAAAGATTTAGCCATTCCAAAGATTGTTTTTATGTCCGACTTATTTTTATTTTTTCGTATTTCCTGAAAGAGTGCGAATCCTATCAACATTTCTTAAAATTTTATGTGTGCAATATTTCTTATTGGTGCCACTTTAAACTATGTAGTTTGTGTCTGTTTAGTTGTTTCCAGAACTTTATGAATGTTGTCACTTTTTCTGCCTTGTATTGATGAGGATGTGGGGCTAGTCCAAGCAGCGTTTTATTGCAGCTTTTTTCGTGCCTTCCACAACACACAATGTATGGTGTAACAGCTGTGGTGAAATAAACTTCAAACTTCAGATCATATCGTGTCTTGGGACGTTAAACCTGCACAAATCAATCAAATAATCAATCAATGTAGTGGTTGAGGAAACACGTCTTCGCGTACACCCGTGAGGTTGAATAAGACGGAGCGAGTTTTTAGGTGTAATTCCCACCTGTTGCAGCGACGACACGCTCGAAATCGTCCAGCCATTCCTCCATATCTTCCCCGCGAATACCAGCAAAGGGATAAGGCTTACGCTGGAGGCTGGTTAATGACGTGAGAAGGCGCGGCACGCTGTGGCGGAGTGGGAACGGCTGCCGCCCCGACCTCATCTTGTGCGACATATTTCCGACACCTGGCCAAGCGGCGACCTGAACGTAGCTCCAGGGGGTATTGGTCCGAGAGGACGACCGAGGGATCTAACAGCACGCTCCACTACGTATGAAGTCTTGGTTTCGATGACCTTTATTATGCCAGAGGAACCGCCAGCCGACAGCTACGATGAACGAACCAAGATGATGCTACGCGACAACGATGAAGATACATGAGCAACACATATAATGATGATAATGTACAGATGCAGGGGATTGGTATACTAAATGCCAGAGCATCTATATATAAAAAACGCAAGAAAGAAAAAATCCAGAAAAAATTCCCCAGCGCGTGGAATCGAACGTGTCTTCCGCGTCGTGAGTGCGAGGCGTTAACCGCTGAGCTGCTGAGAGGTTTTTTTCTTTATTGAAGCTACCGAGAGGTATCTCTTTGAACATTTAAACGGCAAGCTATTTATATCTACCATTTACCGCTGTTGTGGGCATCTCAGGGGCAAGGTATCGTGTTTTCAGCATTATCAGCAAGATGTTGTATTGAGCACTCGGGGGCTCTCGCCTCCACACGTACTTTGATCGCGGAGAGGAGGGCAGTTAACAATTCCTCGCGCGTCCTTAGCTCCCGGGTGGGAATATCATACGTCTGGGTAGTGTTGGGCTTGCACTGGAAAGATTTTGTTGTAGTTACGGGCTCACAAAGGCCACTGCAGTCGTCGCATATTTTTTGTTTGCGAAAGCGCGCACTTTTCAGATACAGGAAGTAACAACAGAGATTTCTATTCGCGTTCACTTTTAACCTGTAAGTACGTTTCGTGCGTCATTGAGCGTGGAAAAGCGGGGCACGTTTTGATCTGCTTGCCATATTGCGCGCGACCTTCCAATTTGTTTGCTATCACGTTCATTCATTAGCCTTTGTCGGCAAAGCGGTGACTTTTCGTTCGTGTGAATGATTTGCTTAGCGGCCAAAACGAAGCGCTGAAGTGGAAGACAAAATATCACTGTTCAGAGCGCGTACTTTCCCTTCGCGGAACTGGCTGCAGCCGCCGTTTCAGCTGTGGACGCCAAGCCTGTCACCACACGTTCCAATGTTTCCTTTAACACTGTACGACACTGTGCTAGTGGTATCGCTACCTTTATTGGAGGGTAGGTGGTTCCACTCGTGAGAGCTATTCGGAATACATAAACCGTGATAATGACGTGAATAGATCACAACGCAATTCCGGCTCCACCTCGATAAAATTCAGCTCTATTCTCTCTCTCTCTCTCGTATTTAAAAAAATCATCCTTTCTTTCAATGAACGACTCATTGAAGTGTTTTAAGAGCTCTTGAATATTACTGTAAATTCAGTCTTGTTTTTATATTTTGCGAAAGCAGTTCCACAGTCTCTGAGCCTGTTTGCAGTCGTCCTTTTACTAGAGCCATGACTTGCCTACATCTTCGATGTATTACCACAATTTTGAAGCTGCCTTGAAATGAACCAACTACTGTAACTACGTTAGCGTTAGTGGAGTGTACTAGAAGAGGGCAGCGCTCGGATTGGCCGCAGGACCAGTGTACAAAAATGAAGCCAAAGCAGGTTCAAGCAACTTTTGGCACTGCGAGTGGTAATCAATATTGTGTTAAAGAGCAGCACATGACTTCGCCAAAACGGTTCAGGGTTAGAATGCCCGCTTTGAACTCATTATGTCCATGTTCATGTTTTAGTAGTAGATGGTGAGTGTTTATTTTTAGTGTGACTTTCTATAGATGGATAGATATTCTTGCTTCAAAGTAACTTCCGTTGCTAGGCATTGGTTCCTAAAGTGACGTGAAATGCGGAGTGTCATTTCAAGTATCGCATACACAATATCACCGAGGACATAATTATGCTCTTTGTCAAACATCTACTATTCAGCTTCTACTTTCACGCCCCTTTGTACATAATTACGTGGCTACAGGAGCGTCTGTTCAGAATTAAAATAAAACCAATATGGCCATAAAATGTGGTGGTCACATTAAAAGCCGACCATATACTCCGGCATTTTGACCCTCGATCTTTTGAGTGAGAATCGTAAATTCTATCCTGCGCAATTTCGATGGAGTAGCCAGTAACTCATAAGACATGATACATTACAGACTATTGATTGCAGGTTCACAGCTGTATTGATTCTGTTTGGGCTTCGCTTTATGAAGCTCGTTTCAAGCACTCCCTTGATGTAGTACACTCTAGCGTTAGCTTCAGCCCTAACCTGGATTGCACGATTGGATTTTTTAACGTTTTAGACATTGCTCTTGGTAAATTTTTCTTGACTTGAAAGACTATTTTTAAATTAAAATAAAAATTTATATTCAAATATAAAGGCGAATTTTCGCATACCCCGAGGTTGCAGTGTTTTCTTTTCACTTCAATTTTTTGTTCAAGGATTTATTTTGTAATACCTTCGGGCGTGGACACCCACCTGCCCGACATCATTGCTAAAACCAATCATGCGGCGTGGGAGCATTGTAGCAAGCGGATTATTTCAGCATTTAAGTCATACGGATGTAGGAGGTTGAGCAGGTTGGGATTGTTGGAACCTACATTTGGCTAAAGCTCCTATCTTCATGAGTGTGTGTGTGACTGTATTTCAGAATGAAGTACCTGATACTGCGCAAACATGAATCGCCATCTAGTTTCATGAATAAATCCTCTTCACTTGACCTCATTTTGCAGTCGGTGGAGGCTCGGCCGGATGCCTGCTTGCAAACCGCCTGTCGGCTGACCCAAGTAAAAGGGTGCTTCTGGTTGAGGCCGGGCCATTGCAGAAGCGCTACGAAAGGGTTCCGGAAATACCTTGGCTTTAATTGATACGCAGATTCCCCTGTTCGCGCCACTGCTCATCGGCAGCGACATGGACTGGAAATACTCTACTGAACGTCAGCAAAACGCTTGCCTCGCTATGGTGGGCCAGGTAGGCATGTCTCTCTGGCTTCCGGCAACGATCAGTGATCTGACCCAAACTCGTTTTTTAAAGACTATAATATTTCTTGAGGACCTTCAATGCCAAAACTTTGGTCTGTGCGTCTGACAGTGTGCTTGTACGCGGTAACGATCTCTCTGACGGCACCAAACGCTACCTCAAACGGCCAACCCAATCAGTAGCACGCACCAATATTTCTCTAGTTTCAGTGCTCATACTTGTGTGATTGTCAATCGAAAAGCTATAATTGCGCACATCTGAGGCACCATAACTTCTCGATGTTTTGTATGTGTGCCGTTTTGCAAGACAAGACACAAACAAGTAATTCTATGGACCGTGGCGTTTATCATGCTGCTCTGACAGTGCAACGTGATGCTCAAAATGGCAAGTGTTTTCAACGCTTTGCTAACCCGACAAGGTGGTGGCACCGGCCCGTAGCTTTGCGTTCTACACCTTATCACCTCCGATACAGACCCGCATCTTTCTCCGCGGGAACACACGGCCTCCATCGTTTTTCGAAGATAACTGCCAGATGGCGCTCGTATCTAATGTGCCTTTTTAGTAGGTTCCTAGTAGTACATCAACAGGCCCAGATGGCATTCCAATTAGGCTGATAAAAACATTAGGTCCGAAGTCTGAGCAGGCTTTGAGAGAGGCAGTGAGTACAATAATAATCGATGGTGAAGTTCCCGATGGATAGAAACTTAGCAGGATGAGCATGATCTATAAAGGAAAGGGGGACAAAGCTGACATAAACAACTACCGTCCTATACAGTGACATCAGTGGTCTACAGGCTGGCGATGCAGATTATAAAGGAAAGACTGCAGGCGTGGATAGAGGATGAGGGGTGCTGGGGGAACTGCAGAATGGTTTCGGAAACACAGGAGGTTGGAAGACAATCTGTTCTCACTGACGCAGTGCATCGAAATAGCAGAAAAAGAACACAGGCCACTGTGGCTAGCATTTTTGGATATCAAGGGAGCGTACGATAGCCTGGTTCAAGAGGAATTGTGGGGAATATTGGACACACTAGGCGTGGAACATGTAGTCACTAATCTTTTAAAGGGTGTCTATAAAGGTAACAAGGTAGTTATAAAGTGGGAAAAACAGGTATCCAAGCCTGCAGAGGTAAAACGGGGGCTTAGGCAGGGGTGCCCCCTGGTCACCCTTATTATTCATGATGTACCTACAAGGATTAGAGGCCAAATTAGAGGGAAGTGGACTGGCTTCAACCTCTCTTTAGTCAAACAAGGAAAACTTATTGATCAGGCACTACCAGCATTAATGTACGCAGATGACATAGTGCTAATGGCCAACAACAAGGAAGATTTGCAGAGATTGATGGACATCTGCGGTAATGAGGGAGATAGGCTAGATTTTAGATTCAGTAGGGAAAAATCAGCAGTCATGATTTTCAATGACAACGAAAGTAGTGAGCTTAGAATACAGGAGGTCACGCTAGAGATAACAGATAATACAAATATCTGGGCGTATGGATAAGCAATGGGACCGAGTATCTGAGGGAACACGAAATATACGTGACGACTAAAGGTAACAGGAATGCAGCAGTCATGAAATAGGGCACTGTGGAATTACAATAGGCATGATGTTGTGAGAGGAATATGGAAAGGGGTCATGGTTCCTGGGCTGACGTTCAGCATGCGGTCTTGTGCATGAGATCAGAAGTTCAAGCAAGATTAGAAATTAAGCAACGTGGAATAGGTAGGCTTGCTTTAGGAGCTCACGGGAATACACCAAATCAGGGAGACAAGGTGATATGGGATGGACATCATTTGAGGGCAGGGAAGCTAGCAGCAAGATAAAATTGAGAAGCGATTGAGAGAAATGGGGGAAGAGCGTTGGGCTAGGAGGTTTTCAGCTACTTGTACATGAAAAATGTCGATACAAAATGGAGGAAGCGAACCAGGAAGTTGACTGGTAAATACTTAGAAAACAGCAAGTGGCCAAACCAAAAAGAACTATCGGTTAGAAAAAGTGAAGGAAACGGAGACTGACAATGTGGAGAATGGGCATGATTAAGAGTCCGCACTAGAGATCTATCGAACTTTTAAGCAGCAAATTCCCAAGGAAAGGATCTATGATAATACTCGGGGTAGTTCTCTACTGTTTGAGGCCAGGACGGAGTACTGCGAACCAAGACATATCGGGCCAAATACGAGGAGTCGACACAGTATGCAGTGCGTGTGGAGAGGAAGAAGAAACTGCCGAACACTTGATAATGTTCTGTAAAGGGCTTCACCCTAGTTCAGGATGATGGCGCAGAGTTTGTCAAAGCACTGGGATTTAGGGACAGCGAGGGCAAAATAGACTTTAAGCGGGTAGACCTTAACTAGAAGGAGGTTATCTGATTGGTGGCTAAAGTCAAGGCACGAGTGAAAATTAAACCCCTCACTGCGAAGTACGAATCCTCAACTTCATTATTTAAAGGGAAAAAAAGATAAATGTAATGGTTAGTTCACTAAGTATTACGGCTAGGTGGCGTTAGCCGCCGCCCGATCTAAAGGGTACAGCCACATCCATCCATCCATCCTTGACGCGCTCGTTCGCCTTCGCCGCACGGATAGATACTGTAACGCAGCGCTTCCAAATACAATTCACCTATTTTCTCGCATAGTACAACAAACGTTTTGTTATATCTTTCCACACGCAAGATATCGTCTTTCAACAACAATTGCAGTGAAACATGCAGATACAGGGCCAATTTTTTAACCAGTACCTCTACCGGAAGCCACATCCGCATTGTGATATATGAGGATTCATCAACCTTTTGAGCCTTAAGGCCGAGTGGCATGAAGCTGACGATGAGGGGGGAGGGAGATTATTTGGCAAAGCATAAACGTTTGAATAGACAATACAGAGCAAAACTGAATTCGAAATTCATGTCTACTTTCATCCAAGCATGTCACACGAATTGGCGAAAAAATGTGGGGTATGAATGACGTGCGCGGTGCCGGGACTGACTGATACTGCCCCTGTGGACCTCGTGAGGCCACGTGTTGCGAGCCCCCCGTGCTTGATCATTCTCCCGCAACATGATCGGGTTTCCCGGCTGGCGTAAGCATAGTGCGAAAAATTTTTTAGACACTGGGGAGGTGGATATATGGTCTTGTTGACTACTTACTAACACGGCGAACTGGACACGACGGGCACTAGTTTGAAGTTTCAACGTTACCCTTTGAAGTAAGTGCTCCATACAAAAGGTTATTTTACATTTTGTTTATGTCTATAGCATGTGGCCTGTTCTTGTTATATTTTTGTTATTGCTTCTTGTCAGATACCTTCATTTCCAATGCCACGAACAACACTGCGGAGCATGCAACAATGATGGCAATGCTACTTCATACAAAGGTTATACACCATGCTCATGTGACCACGAGGACTTCAATATTCATGACCTCAATAAAGCATATACTCAAGGAGAAGCTGTGGCCAACAATTCAAGTGGCAGTTACCAATGATACCTGCAAGTGAAAGCATCCGCCGTCCATTTATTTATTTATTTGGCATCTGTATCCACAGTACATAGGGAATAAGGAAGGACAATGCGCCAGCTTAAAACACAAAACAGAAATCATACAAATTTAGCGACTGATATAGTCACAAAGTTGAATAGTGCTAACAGGCACCATAAAAGAGCAGCTGATCAAGAATAACTTTACTTTCAATAGACAGCGAAATTTATAGGAAAAAAATGAAATGTTAAAAAATACATAGACACGTTAATTAGCCAAGCACTGTTTTAAGAATATTACTTAATGAAATAATGTTGCTAATGATTATTAACGTCGAAGGCAGAGAATTCTCTTTTAGCACAAATTGTTGGGAGATATGATTGTGTGTATGTTACTGTGTTCCAATGAGAGACAGTGACTTTTTATTAGGTATTACGACAAACACAACAAAGTTTCCGAAGGTAATGAAAGAAATAGATGGACTAGGCAAATGCGAGAGTGATTTCAGTGGATAGCTACACGCACGATGTATGGAGAAGCCTTAACTAGAGTGAATATAGCTGGATGATAGTACTTAGCCAAAATCAAAGGAGCGACACGGTTCTTGAAGGCTGCTAACTTGTGTGGCAACGTTAGTTGACCAGACTTCCACATTGATGAAGCGTTTTTCATTTGAGAGCGAGTGTAAGTTTATAAAGAGGGTTCAGCTCAGATTGAGGACGAGATAGCAAGCAATGGAAAGAAAAATGATAGGTGTAACCTTATTAGACAAGAAGAGAGCAGAGTGGATTAGGAAACAAACAGAAGTTAAGAATATCATAGTTGAAATCAAGAAGAGAAAATGGACATGGGCTGGGCATGTAGCGCGAAGACAGGGTAATCGCAGGTCATTATTGGTAAACAACTGGACTCCCAGAGAAGGCAAGCGGGTTAGGGGGAGACAGAAAGTTAGGTGGGCAGATCAGATTAAGAAGTTTGCGGGTATAAATTGGCGGCAGCAGCAAGCACAAGATCGGGTTAACTGGTGGAAAATGGGAGAGGCCTTTGTTCTGCAGTGGACGTAGTCAGGATGATGATGATGATGACAATTATGATGATGATAATGTACGTGATATACAGGGTGTCACACAGAACTTGAGCCAGGAATTGGTATGCGAAAGGCATATAGGAGGCAAATTGAACTAAGCGCATGGTACTCGCACTAGCGTGTAGGTACTCAGGTTATTGTCGTTTCTCCGCGTAATAAATAACAATATTTCCTAGTTACTTTTAATAATGGGCTGAAAACCCAAGATATCAACAAAGATGTAGAACACTTTGAGAAACCACCTACGGAATTGTTTTCTGTACAATACGTCTAGCGCTGTTATTTTTTCCGTGTTGTAAAGAAAGCCTTAGCAGTGCGCTCGTGGTCTGTCACACGGCTTTTTTTCTAATTTCGTCGGCTTTCTTCACAACCTGGTAAAAGGTTTCTGAAAGTACTCTGCATCTCAGTGTTCATATTTTGGGTTTCCAGC